GTTTGCGATCCCGTTGCCGGTCCCGGTCCGGTACGGGCGTGACACTGAGGGTTGCGATCCGTTGCTGGTCACGAAAATAGACAAAAAGACAAAAAAAAAAAAAAAACATTGCTTGGGTACTGCTAGATTTATTGCAAATTTTCTTTTTCCTCTAGGGTTTGGATTCAGGATTTGTTCCTAGTGTCCAAGACTTTGATAAGAAACTTACAGAGGCTGATGCTTACCTGCAAATCTTGATAGAACAATTGAAGGTATGGCATTAGTTTATATATTGAATTGATATAAAATAGTAAATGTTACTGAGCTTGATGTTTTGAGTAAAAAAGTTACTTGATATTGATTTACATCCCTTGTGGTTCTTCACTTTTTAAAGCTGACTTATTCAAATATCTAAGTGACTTATTCAGAGATCTTTATCTCTAATTGGTGAGTAGCATATTCATACAAGTGTAATGTATTTTTTTGATCATTAAGAAAAAGATAAATTTCTAGACATAATTAGAAGAAAATAAGGCAAGATTAGGTTCATATTCTGTTTAAAAATTCTGTGAAACTTGCAAAATTTTAGTGGCTCGATTTCTAAGACCTTGTTTTTTCATTTGGGGGGGCATGTAGGGAAGGTGGTTTCTCTGCTTCTTTTATCATTACTGAAATAAGTTGTCTCCTTCAATTCCTACTTTAAATTTAATTAAAAGCAGAGGTCCCAGCAAGAAAAAGGACTATTGATAAATTTGGAAGACAAAGCAGAAAAACTTTAAGTTTAAGTGATAATTTTAAGTTCTTAAAGATCATGTTTTCTTTTACTTCTAATTCTTCGATCTTGAGTCTTTAAAATCATTCACATAACAGAATTTGACTTGGTACAGTGCCTTGAAAAATATATGTTGTCTCGAAAATACATATAAATCATCTCTTGAGGAAATGTGTTTAAGAATTAAAGTTTGCTTTTCTGTGTTTAGTAAATGTACACAATGGAGTAAAGTGGTTTGATATTATATTTTTTAAATCCTATAGCTTTTTGATGACAAGCTTCAAAACTGCAAAGATGATGAACAGAGAAAGGTAACTTCTATCACCATGATTTAGACTTTTAAAGTTTTTAAATCCAAGAGCCTTTTGGAGGAATAATCTAAGTGTTTTTCTTTCAGATAATTTACTATTCAAATAAAATAGCCAAAGTCATCTCTTTCAGCTTTGAAAGTGACCAAAGCAAGAATTAATTTTAAAAAATCAAAATAGCCTTGTATTGTATTTAGGGATAAATTGGATATTAAAGCTTGAAAATTATTTGGAAGAAAGCAATAGCACATTTTTAAATTAGCTTTTCCTCTCCAAAATGTTGATATAACCATTCTGGACCACAACAGTAAAGTGATTATCTCATAGAAAATACAATTATTGCCTTTTTTTTTTTTTTTTTTTTGAGTACCGTAGTGTATTTACTATTATAATAGTATTATCAATCTATTATAATAGTACTGTCATATGGACTTCAAGGGTAGTTTTCTGGTGATTTTCTGTAATGGTTTCATTATTAAACAAAAAGCTAATGTACAACATTTTAAACATAATACCCTCTTTGTAAAGTGCCACATTTCTAGGAGTAAGTTCATTTGTTTGAAGTATCATATGTTGAAGGTAGAAAGTGATTTTATTAAATTTATATGTGATCACTTCAGATATGAATAAATCAGTCAGCAAGAATTTTCAGAATAAACAAGAATAAACATATGAGGAAACAAGTGCTAGTTTAATTTTAGTTCTACTGTTTTTCCCCCTTGAATTTCTGGTATCAACTCTGTAGTTTGGTATTGTTTTCTTTTTTCTAATTAACATTTTTCCTCTCTTGGCTAGATTTCCTGATGCAGCATTCTTTATTTTTTCATTTTTCTGTTGACGATAGCCTTGCATTTGGCTCTTTTATACTTGGTAGTAGTATAACTCATATTCTCACTCACCTTCCATTTTTAGTTTTGGGATTTAGTTCCATGTAATTTTTAAGCAACTTAGGAAAAGTTAAGGTGATTCTAAAGTAAACATTTTTAAGTCACATAGTGAAATCTGTAGAAAACACCATTTGTTTTCAGGTAAGGAATGTTTTATGTTATTCTCAGAAATCTTGAATTGAATCACATAAATTTTGCTTAAGAGGGCTTAATATAAAATACCTGGAATTTTTATTTAAATATTAGACTTAGTTAAAAACCAAAATTTAACAAAAAGTACTCCCTTCCCAACTTCATTGTATTCGCTTAGAATGAGTACATTTTAGTAAAATTCTTTCAATGACTATTAAAAAACAATGATGATACCTCTTTGTGCTTCTGATTATTTAAACTTATTATTTTTCACAGAAAATTGAAACTCTCAAAGAGACTACAAACGTAAGTTATATTTGATAAATTCTGACTTATTAGAGAGTGCTTTAAAATGTTATTTCTATTTTAAGCTGCTACTGTTGATAAAAACAATTGAGATTTTAGTTTTCATGAATTTTTATGGGGATGTTTAGGAATTGTATTATTTTACAAAGGAATTTAACCTAATAGAATAGTCCCTCTAGTTGAAAGTGACTTCGTGTACCATTTAATATCTTTCTGGTCTTGTCTGAAAGCCTTGGATAAAAGATGTCATCTATGCACAACATCTGCATTCTTATATTAAAATATATTGTGATTCAGGTTTCCTGATGTACTGGCCTTCTGACATTATATAATGGGCTACTAATGAGATTTGTATCTTGATTAAGGCTTTTTTTTTTTTTTTTGGTGGCTGGCCAGTTTGGGGATCTGAACCCATGACCTTGGTAATACAAGGCTGCGCTCCAACCAGCTGTGCTAACCACCCAGCCCTTGATACAGGCATTTTAAAAACAGGCAAAATAGTGTTTGAGGTTTACCAGTATTTTGACAGGATCCCTGTCTCTCCACACTTCCATAAAAGTATGAAGTAGATGTCTTAGGAATTTACACTGGGGCTGTTGCCATTGATCCAAGAATTAGAAGGTTAATCGGACTCATATCTCTTTCAAGTGTTGACAAGTCTTTTAGATATTATTCAGTATAAATTCATGTTTTGGCATTCCTTAACAATTCATAGAATTGCTAGTGAATAACTTCATTTGACACTGTTGGCCTATTAGAACTCACTGGATATCTAGAGAGGATATTTCTTGTATAGTGTAGACTTAAACCTTGCACATTTGAATGGATTTTTGTTTTCAGTTTTAGCATCATATGACCATTTTATTTGAGACAAGATCCTAAAATCAGTGTTTTGTTTTTATA